TCTGTTTATTGAAGGGGCTACAGAATGCTGCCGTGTACGCAGAGAATATCGTTGTGTGCAGCAATTCGGAACGAGAGCACGCAGTCCACTTGTAGGCTATATTGAAGCGTATGCGGAAGGTTTGTCTGCGGATAGATGAAGCAAAAACGCCGCTTGCCCGGAATTCTGTGACATTCTGGGGCATAATGTAGGTCACGGATAGATTAGCTAACTGTCAGAAAAACTTGCAAAGTTCGAGGAATGCCGTTACCAACTGAAAGCGGTTTCTACGACAGTTTCTCGGACGAACAGCATTTCACAGCCGAAGTTCAACACGTTTGCGCTACACTGCACCAATTGTTGGGGCAGAATAGAAAATTCGAGTGGACCAGTGAAGCACATGAGGCTATTGAACGTGTAAAAGCACAGATGCTAGGTCAGCTAGGGTCAGATAGATATTAACTGTCGTAACCAACGCTGGTGATCGCGTTGTCGGTGCAGTCCTAAAGCAGGGGAATGGGGTTATCAAATGTGTTAGTCGCATCCTGACTAACGCTGAGCGGAATTTCTCCACCACCGATAAAAAATGTTAAGGGATCGTCTGGTTTCTGGATAAGTGGAGGTCATACCTGCTTTGGCAAAGATTTCATGTGAAGACCAATCGCAAAGTCTTGGAGTCCACACCCGATTCCGATCATAACATTTTGGCGACGAGGTGTTTCGTTCTACTCGTATTGAATCCTGCGAAATTAGAGGCCCTGCTCGAGCACCAGCTTAAGCTCATCGGGATGCTTACGCAGCTGAAGGTTCCCGCTAGTAGTGCTACGTTCGTTCAGCGGGTAGACGCGATTGCGGATAGCATAGCGGAATTTAATTACGACCCAGAAGCTAGCATTACGTTCGAGACATAGTTACGCCGCTACGAGGACCTATTCCGAGTTGATCTCGCTGCACACGATGATGCATGGAAATTCCAGCTCTTGCTTCGTGAACTTGGCCCGGCAGATCTTTAACAAGTACTGCAAACTGATCCTACCACATAACCCACGTGACAGGTCATTCGATGACACCGTACAGACTCCGATGGTTACTTTTGGGGAACGGTCTTCTCCGTTCAATACGCGGTACCGCTGTCTCAAGTTGATTATGAAGGAGTCAGATGACTTTTCGACACACGTTGGCATTGTTAATCGCGAATGCGAACGTTTCAAATTGAAGTCCCTCACAACTGACCAGTTCAAATCCCTGATTTTCATATGCAGCCTCCAATCTCCGAAGTTCGCAGACATACGGACGCACTTGCTCAACCGACTCCAGCAAGACCCCTCGCCGACACTCAACGCCATTGCTGACGAATATCAACGGTTGACTAACCTACAGCATGACACCACTTTGGTCCAACCTGGGGGGCGAACCGAAGTTCAAGTCAGCAGAATGTCCAGAAGAAGTCGTCATCCCCGTGCTGGCACTGCGCGGCTTGGCACTTTGCCAGGCTGTGCCCTTACAAACAGCATCGGTGCCGACAATGCAAGACCGTGGGCCACAAAGACGGATACTGCAAGGCACGCCCAGCCCACCCAGCCCCCGGCGCCTCCAAGCAGCAATCACGCCCGCAGAACTCCAAGCAGGTGGGCTCCGCTTTGAGCCTGCTTGCAACATTTCAAGTCAGTTCCCCGTCTCATCGGAATTTCCTCACTGTCCTGGTCAATGGACGTCCGGTCCGATTGGAGTTGGACACTGCGTCAGACATCACGATCATATCGGAGAAGCTCTGGAATACGCTTGGGCGACCACTTGTCCGACGCTCATCCAGAACCGCCATCAGTGCCTGTGGCGGTGAACTGCGGCTTTCAGGAGAACTGCAATGCTGTCTCATTCAATGGAACGACGTTCACTTGGTCATGTTATGTGGCCGCTGCCGAACTGAAACTTCTTAGCCTTCATTGGTTCGACCGTCTTGGTTTGGCAGATGTCCCAATCAGTCCCATCTGCAGTGCGGTCAGTTCTCGCGTTGCTGCTCCAGATCAATCCGGTGATATCACTCAGCGCTTAGCAAAAGTTCGCGAGCCTGGCCTTGGTTGCTGTTCCACCACACCGGCAACCCTCGCAAGCAACAAGGCGTCTTAACTCCAGTAACGTACTCCGAAAGGGCAGCACCGATCGCCGTAGTGAAGAAGCCAAATGGGTCAATCCGCATTTGTGCCAAATTCTCAACCGGTCTGAATGCCGCTCTCTAGCAGCATCACTATCCACTACCAGCGCCATACGATCTATTCACTGTGCTAAACGGTGGGAAGTTCTATGCAAAAATCGACCCTGCGGAAGCGTACCTTCAAATTGAAGTCGCACAAGAATCACGCCCACTGTTGACAATCAACACACACCGTGGGCTATACCAGTACAACCGTCTTCCGTTTGGCGTCAAAACTGCCCCTGCAATCCTCCAACAGTTGATGGACACCTCATCTCCCGATAAAAAGCTAATTCGTTAGAATTCGCGTTCGAAATGTACTTGCACCTAATATGTGATCACAAATTACGTGAAGCTAATCAACCTAAGAAGTAGAACATCGTCAAAGTGGGAACATAGGCCCAAAAGATTCGTTCGTTTGTAGATTCACAAAAGACCCCAAACGGATTTGCTGAAATCACGGAACGGGAATGATTCACGAAACGGTTGATGATTGTGGCTACTGATCAAGTATCATTGCAGTCTTTCAAACCAAAAATGAAAGCTACTACCGTTAAACACGACCACAAGTCTACCCGAAAGTTTTTTGCATCAGTTTACCCGAAGACTCACTGGTCCTGTTGATCTTGCTATCATCATTAGGAAAACGACCAACAGGGCGCCTTCCACGACCAGCTCCACGGGACCTGTCTGGGACAAACGGTTTGACACGACCACGCGCTCCCATACTAGAAGACAAATGATCATCTTCATCCCAACTTAAATTGAAGTTTCGTGATGAGGATACTTTCACATCCATCAGACCTGGTATGCGCTTGCCTTCCGCTTTACTGACTGCCTTTTCCGGGTTGCTCTTTTCGCCAGACGGTGCGAATTGAGCAGCTGTTTGATGAGCTGGCAAGTGTCCCGCAATCTGTGTGTCACTTCTAGAGTTCACTTTCAAGCTTGAACTGTCCAGTTCCCCGGTATTAGCTTCACTTGACTTACGAACTGCTTCTCTAGGGGTAAGCTCACTTTGGGAAGTAGGCTTATCAATAGATATGTTCTCAGTGGTAGTGGACGATATTCCAGCATCCAGGGGTGATGTAGTTAGGTTCGACGGAGGGTGTTGGTCTGCAGTTGGCAGGCTAACTTGCTGGTGGTTCAGAATCTCTAAAACCCGTTCAACAAAGTCAGGATCCAAATACATAGGATTCTGGTGTGACCCCTGCGGACCGCCGGAGGTCATAGCTAAGGTGCTCTGAATGACTTGAGGTAAGGTGGATTGGCGCACTGTGTAGATTCCGGAAGACTGGGCAGTTGTGGAAGGTGTGGAAAACGGGTTGTGCCAAGAAGCTGCTATAGTTGAATTGATAGTTGAATGAGGCGTTTGGTGTATTGGTACAGACTTGAGTATTGTTGATCCACTCGACCTTAACGAAGTTGTGACGCCTGCACCATTACAAGCCATCGCAACCGCAGTAGCGGCAGCCATGGCAGCGGCCAGGTCCGAGCGATTGGGTGCCGCACCTTGTTGGTAGGGTGATAGCAACTGTGATGAAAGCACACTTCCTAGCAGAGGTTGCACCCCATGGAGACTCTGAGGCAGTAATATGTTTGAAGAAGTGGTAAGTGCGGCGGACGTGTGTCCGTCGGTAGAGTCCGAAATTAGATTGACAACCGACCGCTGGATCAAGGAGTCACCTTCTGTATTATAGTTATCTATTGCCTGTCTAGCAGCTCGTGCTTGCTGAGCCCTTTCAACCGCAGACTTGAATTCTTGCGTGCGTGCCTGGCGTTGGGCGTGGAGTTCACTGTCAACATCTCCCGTTGGTAAAATTGGATCAACCATCGTATTTGGTCGACTGGAGAGGTAAGGGTCTGAAACGAAAGATAAAACATACAACATTCACACCATGTGGATTAAAAGGCGGACTGAACGCACAAAGGTTTATCGTCGATGTACGGACAACCGCAGTAAACTGCCTTTCTGTGCCACCACGAAGCGAAAAAAACTTTATTATTCTCTGGTAACCGATCGCGGTCGGACATACGGATAAGATCTGTGACATGTAGACAAAAAACTTGGTGATTCCAAATGACAGTTGTCAAAACCAAAATTTCGCCAACCTATCTGAAAAAATTATCGAGCCGTACAACATCCGATCACAAGTGGTGTAGGAAATGAACCGGAAGAGCAACCACAAGACTAGGAGTGTGTGAATGAGTAATAAAGCGTCACAATTCATGATTCTAGAGACTCGGCAAAATGAGGTAACTACCAATCAAGGGGTCGCACGGACTCGTTTCGTGTTATTATTTAACTGTTCATTAATATATTTCAATGTTGCCTTAACAAAAACCCTATGATAAGGGAAAGCAATATACTGTGCACTGACACTACGCTAGTAACACTGAGTTCGAGATAGCACAGTGGTTAAGGCGCGAATTTACTGACCGGAAGGTCTGTGGTTCGAACCTATTCTCAGAGTCTCGACTACTTCTGTCTAGGTAGGGGCGCCCTGGCGGTACCTCGACCCCCGTACCTCTCTCGAGTGTAATGGCAGCTAGGCACCGAAAGGCTGTTACAGCCGATATTATCACGGGTAGCTTAACACCAAACTGGTGCCATAACAGTTGGCAAGGGGAAACAAGACAGGACAGCAGCTCCCCATAAAAATGTAGATGATTGTGAATAAATAACCGGATCCTACCTGCCAGTAGAAACGTGAACGTTGATAGAGGGCATACACTACAGACATTCACACCCGATAGTACACCGACCGAAACAGACGCCCTGAAAAACCGTGAGTTTTCGTTTCAGAGGGACTTGGTAAATAATCGGTAGGTTTGAACTGGGCAACGTTTCGCAAGTCACCAATTTGGCCAGGTTTTACCACAAACGAAGAACAAGTCAGTTGGACCCCTTCAGATTGACATACCGGGTTGGTGTTGAATGTCAGTTAAGGGGTCTTATCAGTTAGTGGTTGCCTAAATTTCAGAGTTGACGGTTTGCGCGAATTTCAACCTTTCCACCAGGTTTGGAACCTCGATCTTCCGGTTCAAGGTGCTTCGATTGACAATTTGAATTTGGCGCCACTGGTAAACTTCTTTGGTCTATGTGGACCTGCAACTGTTACAAGTTGGTTGAGGGGTTGATGAGAGTAAGTGCACTTCAGATCTAAAATGCTCCTGTTGATGACTCCTCTTTCGGATAACCGCACGCCAATACGTGTCAGCTCGTCTGATCAAGAACAGTTCTCAAAACGCTTGCCAGTTTTACGTCTTCCATTTACACTGGGATGGTTGGCGATTTCCACCGCCTCGGATATCAGTTCCAGTGTGAACCGTGGTCCCCGCTTCAAAACATATTCTCAATCGATTTTGTGTCCTGTCCAGTGCATGTTCCGCCATGCTGAGCCTTCCACTGACGCTCGATATGCATCCGCGTTCCTCAGCGGCCTGTTAATTTTTCTCCAATGCTCTCTGATTCTTGTGTGAAGTCTCTGACCGCCTGCTCTATATAGACCCTAGTGCATTCATTTAGTTATGTCGACAGTCCCTGGCTCTGTTCGCCGGGAGGCGATTCTTCGATTCCTTAAATGCAGAGTAGTGTTACCCCCTGCGAAAAGCTACTGTTATGTTAGGCGTGTTCATAACACTTCAAATGACTTCCAATAACCCTGGTTTATATGGAATATCAGCAGTACCAATCCATTCCCTGTTGGGTTCCGCCACCTGTGCCAACGCTCTTCGCAATTGACGCCTAATCAAACAAGCTAGATATCCACTAACCATAAGTTTGTTCTTTACTTCAATTCGGGCCACTGTCCGATTAACTTCTTCTACGCACAGGACCCTCACACGCCTTTACATTGACGAGGTAATACTGGTGAACACCGATTTCGGATGGGTGGACGAGAATTTCAAAAATGGCCATGTTAGTTGGTTTCTCATACACGGTGGTCTTTAACTTTCCCCCAGCAATATGTGCCATGCAGCTTACGAAGGGCAACGAAACCGAAGTTAACTCGATCTCTATACTGAATTTGATGTGTGAATTTAGGTCATTCGGACAGTTGTAAAACTCGCTGACCCCGACTCGTCTCGTCACAACGAAAGTGTCATCTACATAACGCCAACTTGGTGACCCTCTCAATTAGCCTACGTCAAAAGCGAAATGTTGCCCAGTTAAAAACTTTTGACTATTTACCAAAACCTTTCGAAACGATAACTTCTCAATCTGATCCAAACTTCCTCTAATCTTATAGGTTATTCAGCATACAAATCAGATGTCACCATTAGTGATCGATTCAAGGTCACAGAAAGCGGATTTGATGATACGATTCTAATTAAAAAAATTATTTTCAGACAACACTATTATGTTCGGCCGAATTTGATCTAAAAGTGTATTATCACGGGTAGCTTAACACCAAACTGGTGCCATAACAGTTGGCAAGGGGAAACAAGACAGGACAGCAGCTCCCCATAAAAATGTAGATGATTGTGAATAAATAACCGGATCCTACCTGCCAGTAGAAACGTGAACGTTGATAGAGGGCATACACTACAGACATTCACACCCGATAGTACACCGACCGAAACAGACGCCCTGAAAAACCGTGAGTTTTCGTTTCAGAGGGACTTGGTAAATAATCGGTAGGTTTGAACTGGGCAACGTTTCGCAAGTCACCAATTTGGCCAGGTTTTACCACAAACGAAGAACAAGTCAGTTGGACCCCTTCAGATTGACATACCGGGTTGGTGTTGAATGTCAGTTAAGGGGTCTTATCAGTTAGTGGTTGCCTAAATTTCAGAGTTGACGGTTTGCGCGAATTTCAACCTTTCCACCAGGTTTGGAACCTCGATCTTCCGGTTCAAGGTGCTTCGATTGACAATTTGAATTTGGTGCCACTGGTAAACTTCTTTGGTCTATGTGGACCTGCAACTGTTACAAGTTGGTTGAGGGGTTGATGAGAGTAAGTGCACTTCAGATCTAAAATGCTCCTGTTGATGACTCCTCTTTCGGATAACCGCACGCCAATACGTGTCAGCTCGTCTGATCAAGAACAGTTCTCAAAACGCTTGCCAGTTTTACGTCTTCCATTTACACTGGGATGGTTGGCGATTTCCACCGCCTCGGATATCAGTTCCAGTGTGAACCGTGGTCCCCGCTTCAAAACATATTCTCAATCGATTTTGTGTCCTGTCCAGTGCATGTTCCGCCATGCTGAGCCTTCCACTGACGCTCGATATGCATCCGCGTTCCTCAGCGGCCTGTTAATTTTTCTCCAATGCTCTCTGATTCTTGTGTGAAGTCTCTGACCGCCTGCTCTATATAGACCCTAGTGCATTCATTTAGTTATGTCGACAGTCCCTGGCTCTGTTCGCCGGGAGGCGATTCTTCGATTCCTTAAATGCAGAGTAGTGTTACCCCCTGCGAAAAGCTACTGTTATGTTAGGCGTGTTCATAACACTTCAAATGACTTCCAATAACCCTGGTTTATATGGAATATCAGCAGTACCAATCCATTCCCTGTTGGGTTCCGCCACCTGTGCCAACGCTCTTCGCAATTGACGCCTAATCAAACAAGCTAGATATCCACTAACCATAAGTTTGTTCTTTACTTCAATTCGGGCCACTGTCCGATTAACTTCTTCTACGCACAGGACCCTCACACGCCTTTACATTGACGAGGTAATACTGGTGAACACCGATTTCGGATGGGTGGACGAGAATTTCAAAAATGGCCATGTTAGTTGGTTTCTCATACACGGTGGTCTTTAACTTTCCCCCAACAATATGTGCCATGCAGCTTACGAAGGGCAACGAACCCGAAGTTAACTCGATCTCTATACTGAATTTGATGTGTGAATTTAGGTCATTCGGACAGTTGTAAAACTCGCTGACCCCGACTCGTCTCGTCACAACGAAAGTGTCATCTACATAACGCCAACTTGGTGACCCTCTCAATTAGCCTACGTCAAAAGCGAAATGTTGCCCAGTTAAAAACTTTTGACTATTTACCAAAACCTTTCGAAACGATAACTTCTCAATCTGATCCAAACTTCCTCTAATCTTATAGGTTATTCAGCATACAAATCAGATGTCACCATTAGTGATCGATTCAAGGTCACAGAAAGCGGATTTGATGATACGATTCTAATTAAAAAAATTATTTTCAGACAACACTATTATGTTCGGCCGAATTTGATCTAAAAGTGAATTCAGCTGAAAACCTGAAGCTACACAGGTATTTTACCATCAGTGCACATTCCACGGAACGCTTACGACCTTCCGGTTCGTAATCGAACATTCGGCGACGAAATAAACGAGCGCACCAACAGCTGAAGTGCCTCAGTCTTTTAGAATATGTAAACATTATTTACAGGATGAAATCTCGATTGAAACATCGGAATCTCTTCACAAACCACAACCGACACACTATTTTGCAGCTAGTCAATAGCTCACCAGCAATGTTCACTTTACCACCAGCAGATTACCGGGTCCATGTTTTAAAAAAAATACGATTACAATAGGAAAGCAAAGTAACGTCCATGCACTGGATTGCGAAGACCGACCTGGAAAAAAAGCCATCGGGATACTCACCAGGAAATACTGAGGGTAATGTATGGACCGTGGGTACAGCGTGATGCTGCATGTATTGATGACTGCCGAACAGTACCCGCTCATCCGAACTGGTATTAACTCCAGAGATCAGTTGTCCTGCACTATACGGTGCCGCGTTAGGAAGTTGAATCAGTGAGTGACTAGACGGAATGGGAAGTCCGGCTGTAACGTTCGGGGCAGACCAAACGTCTGAAGATACGCGACTGGTTGAATCATACATGTTCGAAGACACAGGAGCAAAAACTGAGGTATGGCCTCCAAGCGGTTCTTGCTTCGGTAAAACCAACTGACTGGCATGTGTGGTGTTAGTTTGGAGAGATTTCGGAGGAGAAACACGGGCAGGGGTGGCGGGGCTAACAGAACCGCCAACGCGTGTCTGTTCCTCAGTTACGGCGGATTTGACTCTGATTTCATCAGGACCCTCCTCGTCACTGAAAATTATTTGTTCGTCAAAATTGGGCTCTTCTTCATTGATACCAGCCCAACCACCTGACTCTCCCACTATATCACTTGTAACACCGCTGGCGCCGGAAACCGATGGTCGCTCTGTGGATTTCGTTGAACTGGTCGCATTAACCGACGAGCTTGCAACCTAGGCAGTGTGAATTAAAGAGTGGAAGGTCAACAGAAGTTAAACGATCAGTGTAATGGTGATAGACCTACGATTCCGAAAAGCCTATATTGCTACCGAAAGTTCGTCAATTACTATTGTGAACACACTTCGTCTGGCTGAACTCTGATCCCAAGATAGCTCTTTTTGGCAAACCATTCGAAGCTACCTTGTAAAATCCCGTTTATTCGAACTGGAACGAACGCTTTATGTGGCCTTAATGTCAGTACTTCGAATACGAACAAAAGTTCAGCAAGCATGCAGTATACTAT